GAGTAAAGAAGCAGATACTTTTCCCCGAAAAAAGTCCATCTGAAGTAACGATATCTCTACATTTACTTTTTTCAAACACTATACTTATTTCGTCGTGCATCTGACGACCATGGACACCTGCAAAAAATGTTAGAAAGATAAAAAGTTAGGCTGAAAAAACCGAACATGAAGTAAAACTAATTAGCAGATTGAAGCATGAGAAGCAAAAAAACCTCTCTCTACAGACCAAATTTAAAAGATTATAGCAGTTGCTTTGACGGTGGAAGCAACAGGCGATTAGTCAGCACACTAAAATTGTTACAAATAGATGCCAAAAACAGATAAACAACAAAGTTCAGGAGTGAAGGTAAGTATAGAAACCGTATTATCTGCAAAAACCAAAAAGTGCAGTTACCAGACACTAATGACCTCTTTAACCTCAGAAAAAAGCCAAATGAGCGAAACAAACATATAAGTAACTCCGGTTCACGACGCCTTTTCAGTCCTCTTCCTTTCAGCCCGTCCGTCCGTAAAATTGCATCCATTACCATCATCATTAACAGAAGCACACAGCTGTACCCGTTCCAGAAAAACTATTTTCCAGCACTAATCTACTGTAATAAAAGCGAGAAAGCCAACTAAAAATTGCAAACAAGAAAAACAAAAACAATATAACTTTTCCCTTCTACTCAGGAATGAAAGAGTTGAAAGCGATAAAGAATAAAAAGAAAATTGAGCATGCAATGCGTAACTGGGGGGTAAATAAATATACATATTTTATTTAAAAATAATAGAAATCATTTTCACATATCAGTATTGGGCGTCCCGTTCTAATCGTTTCCGCTCTTCGTCTAAAGCAATACAAAAAAAGAAAAAAAAAACAACACTGCGAGCTAAAGCAGTAGCAAATCAATGAAACAAAACCTGCAAAAGTGAAACTCAAAAAGACAAGTGAAAATATCACAACCTTAACCAACTCCTAAGTATCACTGCTTTCATACATACCGCATATATGGATATATCATTTACAATTGAAACTTTACAACAGAAAAAATAAGTAGCAATAGATTATTAGATAAGCAAAAAGACCTATTAAGCAGAACTTAACTTCAGAAGAATAGCAAAAAAATAAAAAAAAGCCATTTAAGCAGCTTGAAAAAAAAAAATATTTTTAGAAAAAAAGCTCGAAAACTGAAGACACGTGAGAACTGCAAATATCAATACAATAAGACAAAGAAATAAACAAAACAAAAAATAATTAAATACAACCAATCAACATTAATAAACAACTGAAAATAAAAATATCAATGAAAGAGCACTTTTTTGGATAAATATACTGTAAATACAATGAGAATCTCAGCAAAATTGATTGCTAAAATTGAAAAATACTCAAAAGCCAAAACAAAACAGAAAAAAAAGGACTTCAGCCTATAAGTTCTGGGTCCAATGAGGTAACTGCAAAACCATCAAATTACAGATAGGGAAATGACACAACTGTAAGTCGAATCTATTTTAAACCTAAGTAATTGCAAAAGTTCAAATTGATAACAGTTATATCATTTTTGGTTTTTAATTGAACAATATACACACAGCTTAAAAAGCATCCATACTAATTTTAAAAATAATGAGCAACTTCACTATAAGCTAAAAAAATGCGCTCCTAAAACCATCAAAGCTCTTGCTTCTCAGAAAATGTAAAAATAATGAAGCTGCCTAGACCAAGACCGCGTGTTTAATACCCACGAAACACATCGCATTAATCTGTGGCCACCTAACACAAATTTAAAAAAAAAAAACTATTTGAAGAAACGAAGCAGAAAGACAATACATTTAAAGATGGATTCCGCATTAATAATACAGCTGCAAGCCAGCTGTATCTTGCTATGCATCTCAGATATAAAGATTGTAAACTGACGATTTTTTACACTTTTAAATTTGTACTCAAAGCATTAACACGACTGCTACAGAAAGCACCGAGTATAATCTGCGAGAAGAAACCAAAACGGAGTATGTTCGTACCAGAAATAAAATTTTAAAAGTTAAGAAAAGTAAAATCATTCACAATTTATAGTCGTTGTAGTAGTAGAAGGTCTTCCAGAATTTGGATCTGTTCCGGCTATACTGCATGTATACGACGACTACTGCTACAACACCAACAGCAAGCCACAACAAGTAAAATGTTCGAATGCTTGATGACGGATCATAAGATCTTCCTGCAAAAGGTCACAGTTATTACAAAAATTTATTGTCCTTATATTGAAAGTGTCGCAAGAAGAATTTCAATTGTGAAGAGCCAAGAAGTTTTAAGCTTAAACTTAACAAACCAATTTTCCCAGCCAAAAATCTGTGCATAAACAGGTACGTAAAGGTGAAATTACCAACGGCATAAAACCCAATACAGCATTAAAATAAATAAATCTTTTCAACGAAAATAAAAATCACCGTATTCCAAGCCATCAATATCCTTCCATCTTCTTTGAGGACTTGCATCAAGCTGTCTCCTTCGCCTGTTTTCACTTTGCTCCAAGCGATCAACATTTTCCAACCCAACAACGAATTTTGGATTGAGTCGCTTAGCACCTTCATCAATAACTTCACCATTCTTGATCTCTGTTAACACGTAGCCTGGTGCAGACTAAAAAAAACAAAACTACCGGCTCATGACAGAAAGATACTTTCACACTACACCCTAAAAGTAAAGCCTCATTCGATTCCCCTTAGCTCTGAAAAACTTCGGCTTAAAGCAAGAAAAAAAAAGTAAGCATTTGAAATGTTACGTTCCACCAATAATTTGTTGTTAATTTTAAACATTACAAAGAATGTTTAAATAAATGAGGTTTGAAAAAATCAAAAATAAACCCCTTTTAAAAAAAACTTGAATTAAAACTTTCAGAGCGCCAGAAAATTTACTGCATTGGTCCTGTAATAGAAAAATGAATGTGGCTGAACGCCTATAAAAAAATAATGAAGTAAGATATTTTAATTTAAAAGACAAAATAACCATAGTACTCCTGGTAAAGTATCGCATTATACAAAATTCAAAAATTTGTGAAAGAGATCTTTCCTCAAGTTTAAATGAAGTAAAACTTTTTAACCAATAAATACATACTTGTACGCCATCGCTCCTGATATTAGAATAATATGACACCAAAAAGTTCAATGTCTCCTCCTCATCTAGTTTACCATTTGACCAACAAGACGGGCAAATAGACTGGGGAGGGAACTGCTGTTTTGGAAATGCAGGGTCTTCGCTAGGTTGTTTGGCTAAGACTTTATTGGCAATATTGTGAGCCTTCCACAACCACAGTATACCATGTTCTGCAAAAAAACAGCAACGTTATCCAAAAAAAAACCTTGTGTTAGGAAAAAGAAATAATGGTAAAAAAAGGAAACAGTGAAAACTGAGAAACTTCTAGTTTAACTGAAAAGCACCTGGTTTTGTGAGGGAACTTAAATCTGTCTTCGTATAGTAAGTATGGAAATGTTTGCCACAAATTTCACAACTCAAAAACCGCCAAATAAACTGATGAATGGGTTCGACAACTTCGGTAACAACGTTGAACGCAGAATCTGAAGTGCGTCGCGTAATATCAAGCAAAAATTTGAATGGGCAATCTTTATAAAGGTAAAAAACTAGAGCCCTATCACGAAGCGTAAAAATGGACTAACTATTTTGCTCCGAATTCCGTGCAAAAACAGTAACGACGTGCATCATAGTCCACAAACCACAAGTATATCCCCGCAAATACGGCTTTGAGCCACGGCATGCCATCCACGTCATATTAGACGGCAACGGATGGCCGAGTTCAGACTGAAAAAACGAAAACAATCGCAAAGTTTTAATGACAGCTCAGCACATTAAAAAACAGTTAGAATTGAAACGAAGAAAAACAATTCCTCAGCAAAAAACTTTAAAATATCATCTGGCAGAATCACAGCACCAGATTTGCTTCATACACTTTTAAACGAAACAACCCTAAGCTGATCCATACTGTAACTAATAACATCTCAAATGCTGGCAAAATACTGTTCATAGACAGACGAGAATGATCCTCAAGAAGAACTTTAATTTTATGTCGTTATAATAGGAGCACGAAAACGTACTATAAAGTAACTGTGCTGAAAGAATAATAGAAAATCCCCTTCGAGAATTACATATTTCGATATCAAATCTTTAATCGTCTCATGCAAACTGGCAAAAACTTGAAAGTTCTTCAACTATTAATATTATCCTTGAATAAATTTAAGCCGATTGCCAAAAGATGACTTGAAAGCCTAAAGTCCACTTAAAAAAAAAAAAAAAAAAACCTGAACA